GGGACTAGCCTTCCAAGGGGCATCTCCTGCCGCAGGTCTGCCCTGGGGTGTGCACGATCAGCGGGTGTGTCGGGCGCCCGCCGCTCCTCGGGCAGGGAGCTGTGCCCAGGCACTTGGGCTGGCCTGTGCCTTGTTCTGCAGGATGCTCCTGGTGGATGGACTGGGTTTTTTTTAAGGAAGACCTTCAATCTGTTGGATGGTGTGTTTTGATTATGTGGCAGGCTTTTTTTGGTCTTTCTGAAAGTGTATCTTGCTTCTAAGCTCAAGCCCCAATAAAGCTTGGTGTCTTGTCTTAAGAGAGACCAGGACCACGGGTCCTTGATGGCCGGGGTGGGGTTGGAGCCCAGGGCTACAGGAGTGTGGTAGCAAAGTCAATTTTGCTAAATAAAGGAGATAAAAAGTAAAATAAACCCTAAATTCTTCTTCATTTATGTGAAAGGTGCTGTGTAAGCTTCACGTGGTGTAGTGATAAGGCATCAGATATTTGAGAGTAACTATAAAAGAGCTAATGGCTCACCAAGGAATCTCTCCTGTGGATGTATTTTCTCTCCCCTTTTTAAGGAAGATTAGTGAATTTCTCCTGTAATACTTCAAACTACTCAGAAATTACACAAAAGCACAAAACTAATTTTTATTTTGGGTCAGTTAGTGGTTGAAGATCTCCAAGAGAAATTAAATGCTTAATTTTGGGGGGGGGTTGGTTTGGGTTTGTTGGTTTCTTTTTGTTGTTGAGAAGTTGCAATTGCTTGAAGCCTCAGTTCCTCTGCTTTTAAAAAAACAAACATCAGCAATTCCTGTAGTCCAAAACCACACAGGCTAACTGAATCCTTTCAAAATTTTCTGTAGTCAAATGAAACCTGAAGGTAATTCTCCTATGGGATACTAATATGATCCCAACCCATGGTTTTAGTTTGCTTAGTTAGTAGGTTTCTTCACTCATGACTAACAATGTAGTATTTTTTAGTGTTTCATTTCTCCATTTTTAATATGAAAAATAACCATTTTATTTATAAATGAACAGCACTCTCCATTGTGTGCTGGAAATTATAGTGTTGATAGAGAATTCCAGCATTGTATGTATAATAAAACTCCTCTCACACTTAAATGTTTTCCTTTTCTAATGACTCTTCAGCATTTTTAGGAAGATAGCTCAGTTTCAGTTGCAGAAAGTGAGGAGCTAGGAAAAGTAAATTTCTGATTTGGATCACATCATCCTCTTCTTACTTCAAAATGTATAGGAAACTTAGCCAAATTAAAACTGTGAATTCGTATTTTACATATCATGCCTGTTAATTTTTAGGTAGGTGATAGATCCATATGTTGATCATTTTCAGATGTATGTGTTGTGTGTGTTCTTAATAAGTACTGGTAGTTGAAATAGAAAAGCATTTTGGTTAGTGTTAAAATAGCTGTGCTATAACATGCAGAAAACTTTATTACAAGACACATCTTTGTTGCAAACATTGCAGGAAACTCTAGGATCTCTACTGTTGCCTTTAGACAGTCCATATGACCTGGAAATTAAGTGAAGGTGGAAGACTGGATCTGGTTGGCAGAAGTTGCTCTAGCATGGATAAGTGTACACAAAATATCTCTATGTGCATAACTTTAAAATTAACTCAATGTTGTTCATTTGATACCATTGGATAGTATATAACCACGTGGTAGGTTATTTGATGGATACAGCTGTCATGTTTGCCTTCCAGTAAAATCCATAGGCCTCATTCTGGAATAAAAGTTTCTTTAGGAAGGACATGGACAAGATAGATGTACAGATGGTGGCTGATTGAATGTCAACAATCAGACTCGTTCTAAGAATCCTTTGCCAGTTTTGTTTTACTTTGTCCTAAAATGTCAAGCAGAATGGAGTTATTTTTCATGACTGAAACTTCTAGGGCCATTATTGTTAAATTTATGTTATATGTATATCACTGTGTTATACCTGCAATGCACATCTGCACCACAGGGTCATACTTGCTCTGAAGAAGCAATTCTTATAATTCAGACCCTCAGAGCAATAGAAGAAATGGAAAAATAAAGTGTGCATGTGGATTTTTAAACTATGTTGGTGCAAAGTCTTATAATTTATAGAATTGTTGATTTAAGGGAAGCAGTGAGCGACAGTGTGAACTGTTGCCAGCACATGAAAAAGAAAGCTTAGGTTGGTGTTTGCAGATCTTGTGGGAGGCTGCACCATCATTTACACATGAGGTCTCCAGGCCGAAGATGTGTTTTGGAGCAGAAGGGCCCATGAGCTATATATAGTCAGAGGGAACTTGATCCTTCTGAGTGTACAAAGGAAATGCACAATGAACGTGAGGTCTTTGATCTCTCTTCCCAAGCCCAATGAGTGTTGAAAACAATCCATTTAATACAGGCAAAATTGAGTTTGTTTTCTACTTTTTCTTTTTTTGCAGGAAAGTATGCATGCTTATGCAGCAAATGTCTACACATCGGTTGTGGAAGAGCTAATGAAAGGAAAGCAGCGCAAATTTATTGCGGTGGAGCAGGAATTCTTTCGACTCTGGTGGGATTCAGTGGCCACAGATACGCAGAAGCAGCAGGTGAGTTGTACTAGAGCCATGCTTCCTGCTATCAAAGAATCCACACTCTTTTTAGAGGGCAAGGAGGGACAAAGTACTTCACCATTTGCTTTTTACACAGGTCTTGTGCAAGTCTTCTCTTAGCCTGCTATTTATTCTGAAGGGACTTTAGCTCTGAAGGCAGTTGCAAAAGGTTAAAACCTCAGCCATAGATTAGAGCAGTAGGAGGTAGCAACCTTTGCACTGAAGACTCTTTACACTTTGCAGCTCTTGTTTCGTCAGTGACTTTCTTATTTGGGGACACGCTAGTGTAAGATGTCGGTGATTCTGAAAGAGGTTGCATCGATACCTGTTAAACATCTGAAGCTTATAAACTGTTGCCTAACACTGCTTACAAGAAGGAACTTTTTTTCTTTCCAGTTATATACTGCTGAAAACCCTGCCATTTGTAAACAAGGATAATGCAGCAAAGAAGTGACTGTAGATTCAACAGCAATAAATGTTTCTTGAGTTTGTTTATTTCTAAGCTGAGATCCCTTTGAGGATTTTTTTTTCCTGTTGAAGTCTTTGAGAAATTTTGTCATTTCTTCTTTCCTCTGGCATGAAGCAAACATGATGAAATCAAAGACTGGGCTGTAGCCTAGCAGTGGGTCATGTTTTGCATTGCAGTGTAAGATATTTAAGCTTTTGGACCCTAAAACCAGAGGATATACACTCAGAGCACCATGGTCTGTTTTCTTACTAGGGTCCAGCCAACAGCAGCATATTACTTGCAGTACTTTATATTTCAGTTTAAAGCACTAGATATTGAAGTGTCATGTAGAAAAGGCTTCTCTTGTGTTTTTTTTCAACCTATTCCTTCACTAAATTCTGAATATTCTGTAATGTTTAGTATTTAAATAACAGCTTACAACCCGTGTGCAGCTGTCCTTTGTATGAGAGCTTTTGCTGTGTATAGGCAGCTCACTCGTTTTGTGTAGGCACTTTGTCCATACTTGCCTGTTGCAGGACAATTTTCTTGTCCTTGTATTTAATTAGAAAACTCTACTGCTGAGAAGTAACATGTATTTAACATTAGCAAGTTGCAAATATTTGGCCTTGAAATTAGGTCAGTCTGATTACTGTCCTGCTTTTTCCACTTGAACTCTAGCTTTAATGATTTTCTGTACTACAGCCTCTCTAATTCTATCATTTCCTATTTCTTTTTCTTAATTTAGTATTTTGCTCGAAATACTGGGTTTAATTCTAGTTTCTTTTTGAATTATTACTTGGGATTAAATCGGAAGCATGAAAAACTAGTATAAGATATGGCCTGAGTACTGAAGCTGATTGAACATTTCAGGGAAGAGAATAAATAGGGGTGAATGTGTTGAAGTAGTGTTCAGCCAGATGTGAACCTCTTAGTTCTCGGTGAATGTTACTTACACAATATTTTCTTGTATGAACTACTCCTATTGCCATAATCTGGCTTGATGTCTGGGTGTTTTAACTAGGGGAAAAAAGATGTGTAGCCAGTTCTATCTAGTTCATAGAGGTGAGTTAATATAAGGTAAGTAGTGGTTGTCCCAAGGACGTTGATGTGGTGTAGCAGTTACTGCTATGCCTGTTTGCTTGGTGCCTGTTTGCTTGGTTCCTCTTTCCTTTTGCCCAGTTTTTCCCACAAAAGTCCTTGTCATTAGACATACTGTGAGTTTTGAATTGGGGTTTTTTGGGGTATTTTGGTTTGGTTTTGTTTGTTGTTGTTTTGGGTTTGTCTTGTTGTTTTTTTCCCCCTAGGATTAGGTATTTACATAACTTGAATTATTTGTCTTGTGTTTTCAGCCTCTCAGTGGTTCCACAAAACTTATGTTCAAAACCAAACCAAAACATTTCTGTGGCTCCAAGTTTGGATCAGAGGTATCTTTTTTGGACATTCACCCGAATGGTGAATTATAGCTACAGATGCTTTTCATGTAGGTTAGGACTGGTTCTGTGCTGACACCAGATATCAGTTATCTGGTCTCCCAGCATGCTAATCAGTCACCACAGTCAGCTGGAACTAATTTATGAATGCTGAGCCCTGAAGCGTTTTCACAACATTGTGAAGGAGAGAAATGATTATAATCAAAATTGACAATCTGGCATCTTATCTGAGCAGACACAGGGGCATTCACTGAAGGTTCCTGGGGAAATAAACATAATAGTTCTGGATATGGCATCCTACATGACAGATAAAAAAAAATAAGTAGAGATTAAAACACATTTATACAAATTTTCTTTTTTGGAAGTTTGAGGCTTCTTTGAAGTTCTGGATGGTGAAATAACTACAAGAACAGAAAACTCTGTAATGCCTCTAGAAGGGGGAACAGATTGTTACTCCCTCCCGCCAAACACTGTTCCCTACTTTGTCCAGCACATTTGCTTAAAGTTGTACTTGACAGCGTGTTTGCTTCTAGTGGCTGAAATTAAAAAAAAAAAAAAAAAAACAAAAAGCCAACCCTGAATGGTTGAACAGGCCATAATACATTGGCAGTTTTAAATTAGGAAAAAGAGACCAGAAATGAAGGTTAGCAGTGGGATTATCAGGCAAGCAAACCTGCTATATATGAGATAGCTATTTCTTAGTATTGTGTTCTGTCTCTCAGGTTGAGCAGCCTGTCCATGCAAGGTAGATGCATTCAGAGTAGAAGGGATGTATTTGTGGCCACAGTGTGATGACGCACTCTGTTTTCCCCCTTGGATCCCAGAGATCTCAGCCTCCAAAATGTTACAGAGGTAGCAGACAAAATGAAACTCTGGGAGCCTGGTCTTTGCTGCTTGTATGGTTTTGCATATTGCTCTCTCATCCAGCCACCATGTGCCTTTCCTAAGCCAAGACAGATGCAGCAGGAGGAAGACTTTAGGAGAAATACTACTATTTCTGTTTTAATCCTTCAGCTCTAGTTGCCTTGAAGCAGGACTCTAGGCTGCTGCCAGTGTAGTTTCTGGGGACAAGTCTGGTGTTTAGATAGTATAAGGGCACAATAATTGCCCTACTGAGAAACACCAGAAGGTCAAGGTTTACCTGACAGTCCAGCCTTTGTGCCTGCTACCTGGTTTCAGTGTATGCTGGGTAAATCAACGCACCGTACAGTGCATTAATACACTTTTTTCCCTGCTTCCCCTTTTGATAGCATGCAGTACAGACAGCCTTTTACTCTGCTTTTGTCCTGGATGCCTTCTTGACAAGTGTTTTGTATAGGTAATGGGCTGTGATCTGAAATGAACTTGTAGTCTTTTTGGATAAGACTGAAATTATGTGTATGTTCTGTCTCTTAATTTCAATATCGTAGGTCCATCAGTTACTTCAGGAGGGACAACTGGAATTTGTCATTGGAGGGCAAGTGATGCATGATGAAGCTGTGACACTAGTTGATGATCAAATTTTACAGTTGACGGGTATGCATATTTGCATTTAACTTTTAATTGTTATGACCTTGGGCAGTTTTGTTTGTTTTTCATTTCTCCACCCCATTTTTTTTCTTATTTTCCTGCTCTTTAAGACCCAATTAAAGCATCTTGTATTTTTACTAGTCCATGAGTTATCTGTATAAAAATCTTTGCTTAAAAAAACAAACAAAAAAAAAAACCCAACACCCAACAGTTCTGCAATGAGTGGAGAACTTCCTGAAAGCTGGCTTGCAGTTTAAATGAGCAGTGGCCTTGTGTGTGTGTTTGAGAGCTTAAGTTCCTGAGCAGATAGTTATGGTGAAATTGTGGGTGTGAAACGCTCTGGAAGAAAATACCTGGCATTCAGTGTGTGGGGAGGTGTTACTGTTCAGGTAAAGTCTTCAGCAGAATGCAGTCCAATGAATGTCAGTGAGGTCATCTGAACTTAGTTGGGAGACTTGCTTGATGAAGAAACTGCCATTTTGTAATCATTATCAGCAGCCCTGGTTAGAAATAGGTGCTTATTCCGAAGAGTTAAACTGTTTTCCATTTCATTCTTCCAGTTTCTGTTTCCAGCCTTGTGTATGTTACACCTCTCCATCTGATGGTTTAAACTGAGTCTTTTAGTATTTGGGTTTGTCTCCATCTGGTTAATGAAAAAAGAAACAGGATAAATCATTCCACCACTGTGCTACAGATGCCCGTAATAGGCCGTGAGGGAATAGCATGCTTTTTTGGGGTGGGAGGGGATGTATTAGCACCAGCTGTCTGTCATGGCTGAGATAAAACCTGCCCATTTCAGGGCTACACTCTGGACAGCTTCTACATGGGAGGTTAAAGGGTAAAACACTTGTACCATTTGCTGAATATGACTATGCAGCACCGTTGGCCTTGTCAGTGTTTAGCAGGAGCACAGGGAGAGCAGCTGCTTTTGTGTCTCAGTGAGTCACCACATCACACATTCTGGCCAAGAGGAAGAGAGGGAATGAACATTTTTTTGTTCCCCTCAGCTGACTCCTGTGCTTAAAGGTTGTTATATGGGCTTAGTACACAGAACCCAGGACTTCTCCGAAGAGAAGACTAATATTGGCTGCAGAGTCTTTTTGTTAAATGCAAATACAGCTTTTTCTTTCATTGGACTTAATTGCAAAAAAATATTATTTCTAGTTTAATATTCTATTCTGTTTACAACTTTAAAAAATAAAATAAAATGAAAGTTTGGCAATTTATTTATCAGGAACAAAAAGTATTAATGTGTTTTAGAATTCCCATTTTTTTCCTCCTCAATTTTCTTAGTTTGAGTACATATAAACAAAAAAACCCATATCTTTGCACCGTGTGTGGAGTTTGTCTTTAGGAGACAAAGCCAGTGCAAACCCAGTCTACATTTCACATCTTCTCTTGACTGTCCAGCCAGCTGTGTTTTGGGAAAGCTTAGCAAACACTGCCTAAAATGTGCTTGTCAAAGGTATTGCTAGGGAAGATGTTGACTATGAGAAAGATTAAGTAAAAAGGCAATGCTTTGCAACTTCAGTTATTCAAACTTGATATCAAAATTTGAAATTAAGTTAGTCCAAAATGGGGAAGATACGGTTGTATTTGCAAATAGTTCTGAGTGCAATTCCAGACCTATGAAACTAAGATCTGCAATATGGTGTGTTTGGTTTTTTTTAATGATAATGAGGATCCTATTATGATATACTGGAGTTCTGAATGGAGTTCTTAGCTGGTTGGTTTACTTTCATTTAAAAGGTTTGTCTGAGTTTATTCTGTTCTCGGGTCTCTCTGGTTTGTGTGTTTCTTTTTTTGAAGCTAATTTAAATACAAAATTATAATATTGATTATAAAGAATATCTTATATCAAGATTGCTATAAACCTTTGGCTTTTTTCTTTAATGACATGAACGAAAACTCAGCTTGGTTGTTTTCATGTAGACTCCAACCTATTATCCTTAACCTAATCTATATCCAAGTGCTTTTTCCCAGGCCTGTCTCTAATCATAATTCCTTCCTGCTGCTGACCTTTTATGATGTTAATAAGTGATACTTGGCGTAGCAAAATAAATAATGTTGGGGTGGAACTTTCTGCTGTATTTGTTAAATTTAATGTATTCATTAAATTCCTGGAATTTTAAATGCTTTGGAAAACTGCAACAAGGAGATATCCTTTAAGTGATTATCTGTAATACGATATGCCTATTAAATTTATAAAAAGAACTTGTAGAAGTGTTCCTAACATAATTACATTTTACTTTACAGAAGGCCATGGATTTTTGTATGAAACTTTTGGGATCAGGCCTCAGTTTTCTTGGCATGTTGACCCTTTTGGAGCGTCAGCTACAACACCAACTCTTTTTGCTCTGGCTGGTTTTAATGCTCATCTTATTTCTCGGATTGACTATGATCTGAAGGCTGACATGCAGAAAAACAAGGTAAGAACACCCTTAGGATGCCAGTCTCTGCTAATGGAAATCTAAACTATGACATCAAGATAAGCATCTCTCTGAACTGGGAAAGAGAAACTGGGGTTTTCTTCTCTAAAATTGACATAATGATTGCATGTGGTAATAGTGAAATATATTGAATCCATGTAATGTGCTCAGTACTATCTTCATGACTTCTGGTCAAGGATAAAATATAGACTAGCATGAAGAAGATTTTAAAATGTGGGCAACTGGCAAGGTATAAGTGGATAATAAGTTTGAGTGTTGGAACTGGAGGCATCTAGAATGTGTTTCAGTGTCCCTTGGGAAGATCTGTTGTTTTTTCATAGAGAGTTTTAAAGTGTAGTATATATGTTTGGGTACACTGGTTGTTATGCTTGGAACATGTATTTGTGCCTGTACAAGTGATATTAACTAGGTCAGTTGGAGTGGCAGCTAATAATTTTTTTCTGAATTCAGCTTGTGTTTCATGTTTTGCTTTTCCTATTCAATTTGGTGAAGCCAGAACCTACCACCTTATGTTTGCAGTGAATTGCAATACTTTCTTTCTGCTAACATCTTTTATGAGCTTTTGACAGTATTTTTCCATCTAATTTTTCTTCTGGCACCTGATAATCTGGAGGATTCCAAAACTGTAAAAATTCTGTTTCAGTTTGTTAAACATGGATTCCCACTGTCTACAGTGCAATCCAGAGTACATCTGGATCTTTCCTTTTTTATAGGTGTTCAGCTCCCACTGAAACAAGTGATGTGTAATGCCTGTGATAAGCTAGGGTTACATCTGGATTTTAGCACTAGCCAGCAGTGTCCTGCCTGCTCTCCTCTTATCAAATTGAACACACAGAGACAATATGAGAGCCTCCTATATATAGTATGTGACTTTGCTTGAGGTACCACTGTCTGGTCTTAAATAAAAGCACTTAAAGTAATTCAGATGGTAGAAGGGAAGATGGAGACTCTGAAGTATTAAATTGCTAATAATGTTATTTCTGTGCTTTTCATCAGGGGTAATGGTTTCTTAACTTTTTGTTTTCCAGAAACTTCAATTTGTATGGCAGGGCTCTCCTTCCTTATCTGAAAGACAGGAGATCTTCACCCATGTTATGGATCAGTACAGCTACTGTACCCCATCAGAAATACCTTTTTCAAACAGGTCTGAATATTTCCCAAATAGACAGAAATGCTGATCACTTTGGAGAGTTTACACTGATGGAGCTCAAGCATTTTCTTTGACTGTTTTCTTTCAGCAGTGTTCTACTGCTTTCTCCTGACCTGCAACAGGTCGAGGAGATGTCTAGACTCTGTAGGTCTGAGAGAGGATTATTAAGCACTAAAGCTGCCCACCATAATACGTGAGGTTTGCTCAGGATTTTAACAATTGAGTGCTCAAAAGTAGCACTGTTGACAGGCATTAAAAATACTTCAAAATAATGTTTTCTAGCACCAGGAGGCTTGCAAGACAGGTATAGCTTTCTGTGTATCATGTCAGTCCTTATCAAAGAAATAGAGAATAAAAATGTGAAACAAATCAGTTGCTATAAACAGAAAGTGCAGGACTGAGTTTTTATTTCTCTGTGTGGAAAGTTAAGATTTAAAAACTCTGAGAAACTCAGTTTGGACTTGGTTGTTGCTAACTGGTTTTCTACAGGAGATTTTTTGCATTATATTGGGCTGTGTATTAACTAAAGTGACTAAAATTTTCCATTCACTTTCTGATAAAATTGGAGAGGTCTTGAAAAGTTTATTTTGCTCACTGGCTCATCCAGTAAAATAGTGTTTGTAAAGGAAGTGTACTTGGGGCAACATCCTCATTATTATAAAGCTTACTGTTTAGTACTGTGATTTCTTTGTTCTATGCCAGCAAGCAGCAGGGACTTGGAAGGTTGCACAGTGTGAAAAGGAACCTGGACAACCTTTCTCAAATAAACACTAAAACCTAAATAGTAGCAAATAATGTAAACTGAATTTTTTTACTTCTTATTCCCTGTGTCTGCATTTTATCCCAACGCTTTTTGATGTGTTTTTCACAGTTGAATAAATCCCATTTATAGCCTGTTGCTTTCTCCTACTTAGGTCAGGGTTTTATTGGAATGGCATTGCAACTTTCCCAGATCCACCAAAAGATGGTGTTTATCCAAACATGAGTCTCCCTGTTACAGATACTAATCTCCCTCTCTATGCGAAAACTATGGTGGCAAACATTAAGGAGAGAGCAGCCTGGTTCCGAACAAGTGACGTTTTGTGGCCTTGGGTAAGTGCACTGTCAGTGTACTAAAAATGGTAGCATTACAGGAAAATGTATTATGCATTAGGTAGACAAAGTCTTTTCAAACTCGTGTGTGGTAATTTTCTTTGTCTTTTAGTTAGAAACCTAAGCATATCTCAGCTTGCTCATCCACTTTTTTCAGCAATATGCTGTGTTAAGTATGTCGTATGTGTACACATAGCATTGCCATGCTCTAGCTATTTTTAAGTCCTGCAGCTCTGGGGAAAAGGACCTCAGGGTCTATGGTGGTCAACAGGCTGACCAGGAGCCAGCAATTTACCATTGTGGCCAAGAATGCCAGTGCATCCCAGGGTGCATTAAGAAGAGTGCAGACAGTAGGTCAAGGGAGGTTACCCTCCCCCTCTGCTCTGCTCTGGTAAGGCTACATTTGGAATGCTGCACCCAATTCTGGGCTCCCCAGTTCATGAAGGATATGGAACTACTGGAAGGAGTCCAGCACAGGGCCACAAAGATGATTAGAGGAGCATCTGGCCTATGAGGAACAGCTGAGAGAGCGGGGTCTGTTTAGCCTGGAGAAGAGGAGACTGAGGTGGACTATCATCAACACTAATAAATAAGGGGTGGATGTCAAGAAGGTGGATTCAGTCTCTTTTTAGCAGTGTCCAATGACAGCACAGGGGGCAATGAGCACAGCTGGAGCATAGGAAGTTCAAGTTAAACATAAGGAAAAATTTCTTTACTGTTAGAGTAACAGCACCATAACAGGCTGTCCAGGGAGGTCATGAAGTCTCGTTCTCTGGAGACATTCAAAACCTATCTGGATGTGTTCCTGTGGGATCTACTGTAGATGATCCTGCTCTAGCAGAGGGTTGGACTAGATGATCTTCATCGATCCCTTCCAACCCCAACCACTCTGTGATTCTGTGTGATTCCTAAGAAAAAAATGTTTTCTAAAACTGAATATGCAGTCTGATTTTGCATTTTGATGAATGCTGTAGGTCTCATAATTACAATATTAAACATGATGTGTGTTAAATTGGCCATTTCACCACAAATCTGTTGTTGCTGAGAAACCAAACATTTTCTGACTGATGCAGCTTTGAGTCGCTGATTTGTTTTTCTCCTGTGTTTGTGACACTGCTTAGATTGATTTATTTTTTTGTGGAGGGTGAGGGGAGAAGTGGGATAAAAAAATCTGTAGTAGTGCTATAGTGAAAGTCATGTTAGAAGGGGGAGGAGGGAGTTTAGAATAGTACAAACAAATTCCAAATGTCTAGATCTGAACCTGCAGTTTTGCAGTAATGTAAGAAGATTTCAGTCCCTGAAATGCTGATTTGTTTGCCTGTGATAATGACCTTTAAACAAAGTAATTAAAGTTTGTTATTCTTTGATACATCTATGTAAAGAAGTAAATAGAAGTAAATAGAAAAATAGAATCATGGATGCTTCTGTTGCTAAGCTTAGCTATTTTTTAATGATAAAAAAATAGTTTGGAGGACTTGGATTTTATTTTTTTTCCATCTGTTAAAAAATCAGGAAATACACACCTTCCCATTCAGGCACTTTTGTGATAAGTTATATGGACAAACAAGTGTTTGTTCATGATCTGAAGCACCTAGTTGTGCAGGAGGGGGCACTGTAAAAGTTCAAACCTGTCTAGCTAGAGGCCATAGCAGCAGCTGAAGGAGGAGGCATGGAATTGCCTTCAGGGCTGGAGCTGATCCTTGAGATGTTTTTTGGCTTGTGTGGTTGAACTAACTGTACAGTAATGTACAGCATTCCTGTGCATAATTTTGTTCAGCTAATGAGTGGATGACTACAGCAGGTTCTTCTGGAAATCCTTGTTCTAACAGAGCTGCAGTGCTCCTCAGCTACTGTTTTCTGGGTCACTGAGCAGGGTCTACCAGCTCAGCACATCCCCTTCTGTCGTGCAAAGTGTCTACTTTTCATGAGGAATTCTTGGACCCTGAGTTGAAAGTGGTGCTTTTTAAATATGAAGTAGTTCTGACTGGTAAAGATGTTACTTATTCCTCACAAATTTAGTTGGAGTGTACATTAGAAGGTCTTCTTTGCACTGACAGCTGCACTTTTCATTATTTGGTTTGATACGTTTTAGTAGCTCATTCCAGTCTGGAATTGTTTTCCAGTTTCTGCTATATGCATGCAGAAGATATCTCGGTATCTCAGAAAAACTTTACTATTTTGGAAGTAGAATTTCCACTTTTCTGATCAGGTCTGAGGAGCAGGCCTGTTTGCTGGCATACTTAACGGATGTGACAGTCACCTAACTTGATACACCTAGTAAATGGGGAAGAGATGGGGCTGGCACTCATATCTGGGAAAGAGAAAGGAGAGTAGTAGCCTCAGTTCAGTTGAACTCATCAGGTTCAACTCATTCAGGAGCTGAATGGGTTCAGCTCATGAGGTTCAACTCCTTGAGCTCATCAGGTAAAGGCTGGGGTGGAAGATGAGATTGAAAAGAAAATAGAGGCTCCTTGGCCATTTCCTCAAGCATCTGCTAAGCTTTGAAGGCAAATAGCTGGGAGCATCTTTATTTTGAAAATGAAACTTGTGCAATTTTCTCTATCTCAAGCACAGAGATGTGAAGATGAGGATGCATTAAGCTGCTGTCTGTGTTGGAAGGCTTCAATTTGGCCTTTTGGTGTGAACAACTTTTCTTAGCATGTTGTTGTGCTTCAGATGGATGCCTGTACTGATGCCTATTTCTGATACTGTAAGAATACACATGGTGCCATGGCTGACTGTCTTTTTGCTGTTCAACTGTTGTAGGTGAACAAGGTGTGATTAGTTATGTTTAGTCTTAGATTAGTTTTTTTAAATGTTTGTGCGTGCAGATAGTCTGTATTGAGACACCTTCAACATAAGGCAGAAGTTGTGGGAGCATGCTCAAAAAAAAAAATCTGCTAAGCTTTGAAGGCAAATAGCTGGGAGCATCTTTATTTTGAAAATGAAACTTGTGCAATTTTCTCTATCTCAAGCACAGAGATGTGAAGATGAGGATGCATTAAGCTGCTGTCTGTGTTGGAAGGCTTCAATTTGGCCTTTTGGTGTGAACAACTTTTCTTAGCATGTTGTTGTGCTTCAGATGGATGCCTGTACTGATGCCTATTTCTGATACTGTAAGAATACACATGGTGCCATGGCTGACTGTCTTTTTGCTGTTCAACTGTTGTAGGTGAACAAGGTGTGATTAGTTATGTTTAGTCTTAGATTAGTTTTTTTAAATGTTTGTGCGTGCAGATAGTCTGTATTGAGACACCTTCAAAACATGAGGCAAGTTGTGGGAGCATGCTCAAAAAAAAAAAGGCTTTAATACCCAGTGTATCACTTTTCTCAACTCTGGATGGACATCAGAAGTACCATAGTCTACTGTCATAATGGGGCCTCAGCAGCACATTGTGTTACATTTGTACTACAGGGATCTCTGTCCACATTTTTTTTGTTTCACTTCCTAAATTTGTAAGCATTGTTAACAACAGAAAATAAGAATTTCCTTACTTTCTGCTAAGTGGCAGAAATGCAGTGTGAAAAGAAACAAAGGTGGTCTTTCCAGGCATGCATGAATGCATCTTCCAGTTGCTACCATGAAGTTTCATGCTCTTGCACAATATGGTGTCAACACACCTCCCCTCATCTGTAATGCTCTTTGATTATCAGCTGATAACCCTACCCATTCTTTACATTTTATTGCAAATTACTTCTATATGGGCAGTGAAGATCAAAATACATACCACTTTGACATAGACTAGTGTTCAAAAAGATCCTTCTGAATTTCATGACCCAAAGTAATTTGACTGTTCTGGTTTTGAAATTTCAGGGCTGTGACAAACAATTCTTTAATGCATCTGTTCAGTACTCCAACATGGACCTGCTGTTGGATTATATTAACAATCATTCTGATGAGCTTGGAGTGACTGTCCAGTATGCCACTGTTGGTGATTACTTCCAAGCAGTTTATAGCAGAAATCTAACATGGGAAATTCGAGACTCTCAAGACTTCCTTCCATATTCAACAGGTAACTACGTTCACAGCTGCATAACGTCTGCCTTAAATGTGCGTTTTTAAAATTTTAATAAAGGGAAATTGAGAAAATGAGAAATAAAGTAAGAGGAAAATCTCCTTATAACATTTATTTACAGTACCAGGGTGTCATCAAATAGATAAGTTGATCCCAACTTAGTGGTAGAAGAAAGGTGGCAGGGCAGCAGCTGGAATATTTCTTTGGGACAATTGGAAGCAATGGGTGGAGGAAGAGACCCTGAAAGAAAAAGACTATAGAAATAGGCAAACTTGGCAAGAAATCTAACTTGAGATTTTGTTTTGCTGTCTTTGAATAACAATAGAATACAAAGGAAGGATAAAGACAAGGTATATTAATGTGTGTAATGTCATCCAAATGATTTTGATGACCTGAAGAAATGTATAGGCACTGCACTAATCAGGTTCCATTATAGTGAAAACACTGAGCAGTGAGAGAAACCTGTAGGCCTAGGCCACCTAGCTGCAATTCAGTAAGGTGTTTCAGGGGCTAGGTGAAGGAAAAAAGACTGCAAAGCATGTTCTACACTGCGAGCTGGTTAGCAAACAGCAGTGATAGCAAAGGTGCTTCATAGAGGTGTACCAGCACAGCTGATACCAGAAGTCTCTCACTACGTTAAAGGGATCCTGTCTGACTTAGCAACCTAATCTAATTGAAGATATCCCTGCCTGTTGTTGGGGTTTGGACAAGATCACCTTTAAAGGTTCCTTCCAACCCAAAACGCTCTATGATTTTAACTCTCTAAGCTGAAATCCTAGGACTCATTCTGCTTCAAATACAGATTTTGACTATTTCTTTCATGTTTGGTCATTTAACTTGAAATTAATTCTTTTATCTGCTTCCCACACATTAGCATGCACAAAAAACCTGTAGTCTCCTAGGTATTCTGTAGTATTAGATGTGCATATTACACCTCTCCTTTCCCAAAAATGAGCTGTAGTAAGCACCCAGTGCTCCAGGATCCAGGGAACTGAAAGAAAACTGATAAACTGAAAGATACCTAGAAACGGATTCATGGCCAAGTAGAGTCATGTCCCATTGTTACCATTTAAAAGAACTGGATTAGGCATATATTAGAGCAGATATGGGAAATGTGACATGGAGTAATCTATGAATGTCTGAAGGAGAAACAAGGCAGGTAACCAAGGGAGCAAGGCAGTCTGAAAGCTCTCAGGGTACTTCTTTGTTAGTGCAGTGGAATAGGAGTCACCAAAGTGAAACTGTGCTGAGGATTTGATGTCCACACTGTATCCAGTTTTCTTGGAATTATGTATAATCTGGTCATAAGGACTGAATGCCCATTAATGCTTATTACATACCATTAGGAAGCCAGTTTGTGAGCTCCAAAACCAATCTTTTATATAAAGCAAAGCCTACTAGATAAGGGCAATTTATAGATTCACATCAAAAGCATCTTTCTGGTCCAAATAAATGCTAATATAGGTGAACCCTTTATGTATCTTGTAGCTCTAGGAAATTGTCTTTTTCGTCACAGAAAATAGTGTTAAGTTCTGTATTTCTGAAATTTTATACTATGATGTGACACAAATGCATTGCAGTTGCTCGTTGCTTGCTTGCTTCTTACCTGCTGCATTACTTTAGCTTTTCAAGCAGAGCTGGAAAGTGCTGGGAGCATATGAAAGAAGGCATGCCGTACCCAAAGTATGGCATCCTTTTCCCCAGTAAATCTACCCTTTCAGGTCTCATATTGAAGTACTTGGAGAGAAGACACAGCTGACTTCTCAGTTTCTGAACTCATTAATTTTATTCATTGCCTGGATTATCATTAAATTATCTTTGGTATCATTAAAATGCCTTTCTATATAATTGTAGCTACTACTACTTCCTCACAATCTTTTTGGCTCTGTGGATATGTATCTCAGACTATTACAACCCAAATTTATCTTACACAACCAATATTCTGTAATGTGTCTGTTAAATTTTAAATGAATAAAAATAACTATTGCTTCCTGTGAATCATTGCACGGACAGATCCCTTACTCCCTTCTCTCCAGGGATCATGTCATACCTAACAACATGCCGACAAACAAACTCCCAGTTTTAAGTGCTAATATCCTTTTACATCTGGACTCTTACCTGTATCATTTGGCATAATTTACAGACAGTAGTTGGTTGTTATTAGCTTGCATAATGGCAGCACCTTCAATGTTCCAGGTGAGTGCCCACACACAGATGCAATTTCTTCCCCAAATGGCTTTCTGTGCCTTGCAATTGCAGTATAGATTTGAGTGCTCTTTCTCCCACATACTGTTTTGCTTCTTGATGATTAATCCTCTCTCATTCTTTCTATGCCATTTATTATGAGTCACTTATTGGGCTCAGTGTCACTTCTGACATATGCCTTGGAAACTCAAGTTTTAAGTCCCAGATAAGTGTTACTTTTTCCACTCTACACTCATTGTACTGCATAGGAGACTCTTCTGCTTCTAACCTTGAAAACTGAAATAGAAGTAATTCTATTTAAGCTTCTAGCATTTTTCAGGCTCACAATAGTTTTCCTGAAGTTTCTGAGCAAAAGACTCCATTTTCTAATTGTTGTCTTTGATCCTAGGCTTGATAGCAGATTGTTACAGTTGCATATATGTACTTTACAAAGCACTTCCTGCAACTTCTCTCTGGAAAATCTATCAGTGGTACCTTTTAAAAAAAAAAAAAATCCTCAATAAAAAAAAATCCACTAAGTAGAGATTTGGAGGTTTTAAAAACAAATACTTGTTTTCCTGGTTTGCTCTATGGGATACTGGAACATTAGCACAAATTAACTGTTGAAATACTTTACACTGACCGCTTGAGGGCATCTTTTGATGTAGTTTAAAGGGCTGCAGTAGTTTGGGGTAATGATTTTAGTCGGTCATCACTGTTTCTACTCCATTTTGAGGAAATTAAATGTAAGATAACCCCTTTTGACTAAAAGGGGGAATACAAAGAGCGTGTATCAAGCAGTAACCAAGGATTATAACACACTTGCTTTATTAATGAGTAATAGAATATTCTTCAGTGAAATGTCAACAGTTGTTTTGTGCAGATCCATAAAGAAGACATTTCTGCAAACACAGGTAAACTTAAGTGGTTGATTACAGCTTTTTATCAACACTTATGGTATGATGCCTGTAGGAAAGATTATAGTTTTCCAAAGTGTACTTTTATAGATGTGTTTCTTTGTAGGCCTTATGGCCATTCCATGTGATCGCTGATGTGTAAACTCTCAGCTGGTTTTATGTAAGTTGCTATACAGTAGCAGTCTAATAAGTAACAAAGAAGTGTTGACTGAAATTTTGGCTTGCATTGAATCTGTTCAACTCTTAACAGAGCCCTTTCAAGCATGGACTGGGTTTTATACTTCTCGGAGCACGTTAAAGGGAATCGCAAGGAGGGCAAGTTCACTGCTTTATGCTGGAGAGTCCTTTTTTGCACAGTATGTCCAGAAACACCCAGCAAGTTCTATTTGCAAATGTAAAGCCTTAAAGCAACTTCAGAGCCTTAGATGGGCAGTTTCAGAGGTAAAGATCGATCTGGTTTTTAATTTGAATGAAAATGTTTATTGCCCAAAAGCAAAGTTTTGCTTAAGTATTTCAGCTAAGGTATCTCAATGTTTTTGTATGTTTTTAGAAATAACTCTCCCTTTTATTAAGTCATAAGTAAACATAAAGCAATTTTTCAAAAAACTGTCATGAAACATGACCTTAGCTCCTTAGCTATTCAAGACACAGATACTGGCAAATGTTTTCTTCAGCTGGTAAAAGGGTGTGCGTTTTAAACTTTGCATGTCAAATTCCTTTTCTTAATGTTTCATTTTATTATTTCCAAAATGATTTTTAAAAATAAACAAAAACTGAACTAAATGAAAGCTACTTATCTCTTCTAAACCTCTGCAAGTTACAAGAGGAAGAGCAGATGTGTTTATTCCAAGTTCAGCAGCTAAGTGAGCAGCCTCATACCATTAACCATTTACAGGCCTTGGTCCTATTGCTGGTAATAAATATTTTGTCAGCTAAGTTACTTACTAGATCTTAGTAGGAAATGCAAAACCTGTCTTGTTACAGTATTTTTGTTACATTCTTGGGTTTTGGTAACTTTTTTTCCTCTAAGCATGTAAATTTAGTAATTTCTAAATATTAAAAGAGGATTATGTGTAGAAGGAAGTCTGTGCATCTTGTCTTTGACCATTTCATTCTATATATAGCAATTTGGAATAGGCAAAGCATGAATCTGTGAATATAATACCTTATTGTTTTAAGTTCTATGTCTGAAGGTTAGTGGACTGTGTTAATACAAATGCAAACCTGAAGTTGTCATCCTACTGCATTGTGACCTTTCAAACTACTTTTAAATGTAAGGTCCAGCACCACGATGGTATAACAGGCACAGAGTCTCCCAAGGTGAAGGACATGTACATTAATAACTTGATGTATGGAATGTTCAATGTAAAGAAGCTCATGGCTTCCATAATCTTTGACATGAACAATGCGAAGAAGAATGGAGAGGTCTATTCTTCTGCTTACAGTGAAGACTCAGGAATACCAGGTACTTTTTAATGCAGCTTTTCTGGTTTTCAGGCTAACTTAAGAAAGCAATTGTGTTTTCCTTGAAAACAATCAATATATTATGTACCATGTAAGTTCTATGAGCCACAGCTGGAAGATCCTGTTTGCTTTATGAGACCTGCTGGACCTGAGGCAAACTCAGATGAATTTATGAGCTTTCAGATCTCAAGCATCTGAAACCAGAACATTTAAACTGATGTTAGACCAAGCCCTGCCCCAGTGCGTATATCGGTCCTGGCTCCCAAATTCAGACCTCAACTAGATAACAGAGGAGAGGAAGAGGTGCTGATCAGGGCAATTACTAAACTAATTATGCAACATAGGATTGCCTGGTAAGAAGCACAGTCACAGATGAATGGTCTTGCCATAGTCCACTGCCAGCTTCTGTAAAAAGTGTAAAGGAATTTTTAAGGAGTCTGTTCTAAAGATTACATTCCTTTTTATCTTTACTTTGGAAACTTTTAAAACTATCAATTATAAGTAATGCTGTGGGCTGTGCAACAGATCAATTTGGTTTTTTACAGGATTGTTTTAAAATTAGGATCCTCACTTGATCTTCTGTATAACAATTATAAAGTTAATACTGCATGGTAATGCGTTGTGGTAAGGTGCTTATTTTCACTAAATGCATTTACATTCAACTCAGTTGTCATTTTGTGAATACACAGTCTCTTTTTATTGGGTGAAGAATAAAGCAGAAGAGACTTGATGAAGTACTATAAATATTTTCCTTTTTTCAATCATGAAGTTTTACTGTGCAGTTTTATGTTAAAATTTAGTAAGATGGTTGTTCCTAGACACATCTCTCAAACACTTTTTAATATCACATTTTAAAAATACATACTTTTAGGGACTGATGGTTTTGTTTGTGTGCATAAAGGTGATACCCACGTGGACCAGTATGTTGTTGTCTATAATCCACTGGCTTGGAACCTCACTACCTTTGTCACAGTTTCTGTCAGCAACATGGCAATGAGTGTATATGATGAACTGGGACATTCTGTACCAGCACAGGTACTTCAACTTTGTTTCTTTCCGTTGCTTTTCTTTCACGTGTCAGTTTCCACTGACTTTTTCCTACCTCTTGTCAAATTATGGAAAAATATAGTATTACAGTGAAAACAAGTATTAGTTTGGACTGGGTTGTTTTTTGGGTTTTTTACTTGCCTGATCTCTCAACTAAAATTTTTTTGTCTTAATGTTCAAAAGAGCTTCCTGCTTTTCTAGTGTGTTTGGTTTGTCCTTTGCACACCTGCTGTGTGTAACCTGGCACTTCTTAACTTGCTTTTCTTTCTATAAAAAACACTTGTTTCCAGCAAAGCCTTTTTGGTGGAAGATCTGCCCTACAATTGACAGTCCTGTTTCTACAGTTGGCAGATTGCCCTGGGGAGAAGAGATTTAAGAAATGTAGGTCTTATTTACAAGCCTAAAAGAAACAGGATAATCAGCTGCCCAATGACATATCATTTTATCATAGCTAAGGCCCAAGACAAGGCCAGCTGTTCCCTTGGAGAGAAGAAAGTGGCCTGAAGTGAAAGTTCCTGCTTTTAGAGAACGCGTCATCATCAATGACTTGATAAACCTGCAGGAAT